CAGGGCCCACTGGGCAGAGCTCCAAGAACTGATGTCTAAGAGCTTCAGCAGCCCAGAACTGGTGGGCAACTTTCCTCGGGAAGCCTTTGCAGCAGGACTCATCTCTGCTAAACTGCCGTGTCTTTGTTTATAGATGTCTCCATCTAAGCTGTTCATTCAGCATCTTATGGTCTTTAAAGTAAGACTGCTCTAGAGAACCATTCCCCTGCCCCACTTCAGAAGTCAATATTAGAAGGGGATGGACTGCACTGTAGACCCCTTGGTTCCTCTCCATGGACTGTAACTGGAGCCGAGAGGTCCACACTCACCTCTGCACCCCTGCCTTGAAGCCCCCCAAATGCACCTGTACCTCAAATCTCTGGTCAATTAGCCGTGTGCGATGCTTTTGAGTTCCCAGGATGAGTCATCTCCTGGCTGGAGCACTGGGGGAAGGCAGAAGGCCCGTCCCACCCCATCCATTCCACCAGCTTGGAGGTAGATTAGGATCCAAGTCCTCTAGGGTGGCCATCACCTTCCCATTGAGCTCCGGGCCAGCAGCAGTGGTGGGTGAGCAGGTACCCTTAATGGTGGACCTGCTGCCAAAGCCACAGGTTTGACAAATCTCAAGGCTAGCTTATATATCAAACCTCAAATGAAAAAAAAATATATTGGTGAGAGCTGTGTGTCCAGTGCAATCAATATCCCTTTCATTTGAGGCCGGTTTGCCTTGAGGGTCACGGTTCAGGGGTGTCCTTTGCGCTCCAGGAACAGGGAGTGTGTGTGTGCCCGTGACACCTCCATGTGTGTATTTCTTTTCCTTCATGGGAAGCTCTGCCCGCTCTCCATGCCCTGGGCTGTCCTCCAGCCTCACCCTCTGAGCAGTGTGCTGCAGAGAGGCTGAATTTGGTGGGGTTTGGGCTCCTTTTAGGAATCCAACCTGAGCCCGAGCGCTCGAAGTGAAGTCCCTCATGTGCTACCCCAGGAGGGGGACAGCCGGGAAAGCCCCGACGCCTCGGGGATGGGCTCC